TGAAGGTCCAAAGAGTTTCTTCAAAGTTTTACGACCATCGTGTCTCAGGCTGTGAGAGTTGCCTCGCTATAGTAGATTCTAGGCCACCAAAAAGGTAACAGCTTTTTCACCCCAATGCTGACCTTCAGGGGCCGACCCTGCAGGGGGCTTGATGCTGCTCCCCTTGCACATGTTGGTCATGGCAGAGCATTAAAGCAGAGTCCTGGAGAGGGTTGACAGAGCTGACTGCCTGGACCCAGTGGGCTGCCTGCACATGCTCGGGAGAGGTGACGCAAGTCAGAACATGGGTCGTGGCAGAGAATCTGAACTCAGCAGGTGCTCCTGAAATGAATGCTAGAAGCCTAAGAATTGTTGCCTGGTGATCCAGCCGAGGCTGAGGCAGGGGGAGACTGGTAGGAAAGAGCCAGTGAACTTGGCTTTTTTCTTTCTCATCTTTCAGTTAAAAGTGTAGAAGGGTTCATCCATGAAGAGGGAAACGGCAAACTGAAATGGTACGAAACTTTAGTGCGTATGGAAGCTTCCAGCACATGAGGGTTAAAGTCTGTTTTTCAAAGTGTGGCAGTAAATATTCTAGCCTCCTAAATAACCAAAGGGAGCTAGAGAATGAGACTCCATGTCACCATGGCTGTACTGGCAGACCACCTCCTTGGGACAGGATTTCTGGGTGTGACTGATGGATCCCAGCTTGAGGAAGGGTGTGTGCCCGACTGCTCCAGCCCAGCACGGGGCCAGCAATTGCCCCTGGACGCCTGATGTGGAGTATTAATGACACCATGGATGTTTAATTCAGCTTTTTCCAAAGGAAAGCTTAAAATCCAGTACGTTCTGGTTTCCTATTAAGTTTTATTTAGAAAAGGAAAACGTGAACAAATCCAGGAAAAGAAAAGTTACAAGGTAACTATTAAAACTGTTTCTAAACGCTTATCCCCTCCCCAAGCCCAGGAGATCTGTGCCACAGAACAAAGATACCAGGCACTTAAATCAAAGCCTTTACCCTAACTGCAAAAGCAAGGAGGCCAATGTAAAGAAAGGAAAAATATTTTTTAATGGACAGGTTGTAAAAATACAGGGAAGAAGGAGGCAGCGTGGTAAAGTGGACTGGGGCCCCGGGCTAGAGGCCCTTGGCATACTCCTCCAGCCGGGGCATCCGTTTGCTCAGCTTTATAACCATGGCTGACCCCAGCAGCTGCACTCAGCTTCCTTTGGGCTCTAGGAGGCCATGGATTTTATTCAGCCAAGGCTGGGGGATGGAGGCCTGGAGTCATGCTGAAGTTACCCAGCCTGAAAATTTAGGCTTTTATATTGCAGAGGACTTGAGTCGATAGTAAAGTTTGGTTTGGTTTTGAAAATGGTAGACTTGCCAAGAGTCAGCGGGTCACTCGATTATGCTGCAGTGAGTATTTTTAAGGATGGGAAGGTGATAGTGGTAGAGGAACTCCCGAGAGAGAATTCAGGCCTGGGAACAGGCAGGGCAAAGGCAGTAGAACCGTCACATTCAAGGCAGAGCCTGTATTCACAGACGTTAGGGTTAACCTCCACCGGAGTCGCTTGGAGCAGGCTTGCCTCTCTGCTTCAGAGCTGTTTGGCCAAAAGTGTCCACAACCTGTTCCGCTCAGCACCTGACACTAGCCAGGGTCAGCGTAGACCCTGAGAGAAGATTGGAGTCTGCTTCTTGGGAGTCTTGGGAGCGTGAACCCTTGTTTTAAAAGGGAGCACTGCAGCATCGTTGCGGAGGGCGGGAGGGGAGATGATAGCATGGTCTCCATAGAGAGAATGGGCTCCTGAGTCTACTACAGGTAGGTAAGTACATGAATCTCTATCAGACAGAGCTTTCACGGATTTTAAAAGCTTTTGACAAGGTTCTGTCACAAGTCTATGAAATTTGTCACTGTGGAATTGGAAGAAATACCTGGTCATGAATAAGAAAACTAACTGAAATCCAAAGGTAGGGGATGAAGACCATTTCTTGGGTCAGAGGTTTCCTTGGAGATGAGTGCTGGGACCAACCATATAAGGTGGATGGGTAGATGTGACCTCCCTAGGTTTGTCAGCAGGGTTTTTCAGGAGGGAAAACTGCCCAACCTTTGGGAATAAGCTGCTGAAGGTTCCTATTAGGCTCTGTGAGTGGAGAGAGAAGTGATAGATAAGCTGCTTTGTGAGCCAGAATATATGTAATGTGTTTAGGTGGAAATAGTCCAAACTCTTCTTAAAAGGTAAACTGTTACAATCCAGGGAAGTGTCCTGGAAGCCACTGACAGTTGGAAAGATTAGCCCACCGTACCACCATGGCCACAGAGGCCGGCTTCCCACTGGGCAAAACCAGGACAGTGGGAAACAAAACTCCAGACCTGGGCCGTCCCCATTTGCAACAGCACATGTAGTTTCCAGTGTTTCTGTTGAGAAAGATAAAACTCTAGTAGTTTTGTAAAGAGGATAAATAAGATGATCATGATGATGAGAGAGGGTCCGTGGAGACCACGGATGTTCAGACTCACGGTTAAGAGTAAAAAATTGGGTGTTTCTGTGTAGAGAATATAACAAAAGTGCTATGACCAGTCAATGTGAATTTTCACCAAATACTAGAACATACCACTTGAAGCCAGAAAGAAATAACTGAAGAACAAGTGAAAGACAGTACTATGTGGAGATGCGGTTTTTCTAACCAAAAGCAGTAAGAGGTGTTAGAAAGTGTGGACAGGTCTAAGGAGGGTTTGGGCAGAGTGAAGACTCAGTCCAGAGCTGCTTTCGAGGTGGAGTGCCACCCACCTTGTGCGGATGCTCTGAGAGGCCGCCGTCTCCTCAGAGTGGCTCCGGGAGCAGCCCGAGCCCACCCAGAAGTGTGTGTCTCGCGTGGGGAAGAAAGCTGTCTTTCGTGGAATGACCCAAATCGGCACGTCTCACTCTAGGCATTTTCACTGTTCGAGGTACGTGCGTTAAAATTGACCAGCCACGAGTACGCGAAGATGATTGCGTATCTGTTTACATCCAGAGTTCTCTGACATGTGCCCTTGCCCTCCCCCAGACCACAACAGAGGAATTGATTGCACTTGATTAAGCTTTTCTTTATAGATGAAAGAACACATGGAGGTTGGGGCCTGGCCCCCGGGCTGCTGCTGTGACCCTTGTCCCCACGTGGCTCATTTCCCCGTCCGTGACTCTGATGTGCCCGGGGGAGCGGTGTTTCTGTCTTCTCCACTCCGTCCTGCAGTCTGTATGTGCCGCCCTGAGAGAGGATGGCTGTAGCTACAAGGGGAACCTGCCTGCGATAGTCGAGCACCTGGGCCCACGACGGCTTCTGGCCTTGAAACGAGTTAACGAAGGCAGAGGAGCTTTCTCTCCCCCTTCCCGTCCCGGTGCCACAAAATTGTCCATCCTCGGGGATAAGTAGACTAGTTGAACCGTTGGAGTAGACCTTTTAGAGGAGACCCTTCCCCCCCAGGCCAACCCCTCCTCCCTTTCCCCACCTTGATACAGTGTTTGGACAGGAGGGTACGGCGCTGCCCTTGGCAGCAGACACTTTGGCTTATTGAAGAGGCAGCCAGGCATTTTGCACTAGGAAGAATCAGTGATCACTTTTCAGAGGACGCCTATGGACCATAAATATATTATGGAGGAACAGATTTTGCTAAGACATAATCTAGTTTTGTAACTCAATCATGGATCAACCATATGTGGCTGACTTGCAGTTTAAAGGGGTCCCATCACTGAAAAACAGATTTTTTTTTGGCTGACTGCTTTTAGCTAAATTTAAGGAAGTCATCTCTTGTCAAAAGGTTTACACCTTCCCGTCTTGATCTTAAAAGCATGTCAGACAATCCACATCAGATGCCATAAATGCGAACTGCAAGAGGAAATGGTACAACCTTAGTGAATGGGAGCTGGAATCAAAAGGGTTTGCTGTCCTTCTTAGAATGTTCTAAAATGTCAAGGCAGTTGCTTGTGTTTAACTGTGAACAAATAAAAAATTATTGTTTTGCACTACTTTGCTGTATTGACATGAAGTGACTCATGTTGGCCTCTGAGGGGCTTATAGGCAAAGTAGGAACTTGTCCAAAGATGGAAAGCCTCAGGGTCTGGATTGGTTGGTGACCTTGGGTGGCTGGAGGGGGTGCTGACAAGTGGAATCTGGCTTTGGTCCCTGTAAGATCCTTTTGTTCGGGCAAAGAGCCACAAATCCTACCTGTATCTGCCTCAAATTCACGCTCTTCCCACAAAGTGTCATGGTGGTGTGGGGGGAGGTGACTGGAGCCGTCTCCACCAGAAAGCTCTCAAAACCAGGTGGCGGGCCGGGTCTGCACAGCCATCCAGCCTTGCTTTTGGTGTGTGCTTGCCTTCCTAGGGGTTGGCCGGCACATTGGGTTTAATACAGCCCTTTTGGAGGAGCGCAGGTGGCACCTCCAAACGTTGTCAAACGCTTACAGACCCTGAGCCTTGCCGATTGTGTCTTACGAGTGTGCTGAGGAGGGAGTGCAGCTCGCATCCACCACCTTCCCTACGCCATCAGGTGTTTGGAGGAAGGAGGGAAACTACCTTTAAACGACTGCAAGACCCACCCTGGCCTTACTGGGAAAGGACCAGTAGTGAGGAGCTACGTCTGCAGTGTGGTTTTCCACTGCTCGCTTCTGCCCAGCTGCCCTGGAAATTGGTCAGCTCTGCCCATTTAACAGCGGGATCAGCTCCTTCGGGACAGGACATCGAGGTGGCAGTTGTAAGTTTTGTCTGGAAAATTCAGATGTTCTTGTCTGAGTAGGTCTCTAACTATACAAGGAGTTACTGGGCTGGCCTTCTGTGGGCCTTTGGCAGAAACCTCTTCACAGCAGACCCTGTTTGGAGCGGGGTGTGTTCCCCTCCACAGTGGTAGCGCTTTGCTAGTGGTTTTGCTTGTGAGGCTACTGCCCAGCATCTTCTGGGGTCTTAGGGTGAATGTCGTTTTCTTTAAGGGATAAGTCCCAGGAAACCAGGCCAGGCAAAGAGGTGGCAGAACGCTTTTTATTCTTGACTGTCGCCCCCTAGGAAGCAAGAATACAGAAGCTAAGTCGCCCCCTGTGAAGAGGCAAAAACCAACAGTCAGACAGTACTTCTGGCAAGCTCGGAAGCCAGTGACGCATTTTACAATGTCTGGGCCTCAATTATGTTGTGAAAACCAGGTAACTGTCCTCGGACGGGAACCACAAAATCAATTCTTCCGGCTTCTCTCAGTCTCTCCCAAGTAAAGGAGAGGCAAGGTGGGTTCGTTCCCCTTTGGGCTTTGGTCCAGAGACCTGATCACACTGAGCAGTTCAACATGCTGCCCTCAGCATCCCGGGAGGCGGGAGCAGCCCTGTCTTGCAGAGAGTGGCGTCTCGCCTATGGCTGCCGCTGCGGCGGGAAGGGAGCTGAGTGGCCTCCTCCAGCTGCACGGCTCAGCTGGGAAAGCTGGGCCTGGGAGGGACAGTCAGTGCCCTAGCCCTTTCCCGGCCTCCCCGGGACACCCTCTACAGGCAACACTAAGTGAGGGTCCTCTTCATCAGTACGGAGCCTGACGCTCAGAGGCGAGGAAAAGTTAGAAGTTACAGCACGAGAGGAAAAGAGGTTCTCAGTCATACGTGGGGCGGTCCCCTTGGGGGTTAGTAAGTGGCAAAGACTGTGGGCACCAGTGAAAATGGATCAACTAGTGGAAACCAAGCTTAGTAGCAAAGTACCCCACGGGACGGGATGGGACAGGATGGGATTGGGATCAAGCAGGTCACCAGCTGAGTTACAGTTTCCCACCAGCTGGTCTCCAGGGCGGTTTTGAACACTGTTTTGCCCCTATAGGTTTGAGTCTGTCTTGTGTCGGTTACCCACACTTGTCTTTTCTTAGCCGAGGCTGGGTGCCTGTGGCCTGGGGCTCACTCACGTGCTGCAGCGCTTTGCGGGGCAGCTTCTCCGAGTGGGCGACCCATTCTTTCATCATGTCTAGGACGATGGGGATGAGGCTGACCACGCCTCCACAGTGGTTCCTGGCCTCGTGGCAGCTGAGGTAGTTCGCCATGTCGGGAGGGCACCTGCAGGGCGGCAAGAGGGGCCGGCTGAGCCCTGCCCCAGGGACTCCCGTGCCGCGGCCCAGACCTCGGGCAGGGGTTTCTAAAGCTGCCCCCCGCTGCAGAACCCCCCTGGGAGGTTTTAGAGCTGTGCGCCCACCAGGCCAGGCTCTCGGTGCCAGACATGGTGGTTGAGCGGGTTTAGGGCCCAGGAGCCCCCAGGAGATCCTGATGTGAAAGGCGTGGGTCACGAGCTGTGGAAGCCTGCTCTGATCACTCCCAAGTACACCGTTTAGCCCCTCTGACTCTTCTTACCCTAGTATCTAAACAGCTTCCTCCAGAATTTGGCACTCTGCGCTGCGGATTCCCCGGGGCTCAGAATTAGGGAGCCACGCTGGTGGTGCTGACGCCCATGGCACCGGGTTCCAGACATCCCACTTCTTCCTGGGCTTCTGGGAACAACTGGTCTGTGATCCCCTTCTCCTGGCCTGTCTGCAACGTCTGCAAATGTGACTAGCAATGTGCGTGGCAGGTCACAGTTTCTAAACCGCAGTGGAACCCAGTGGCTGGGACCGTGTGCATCTGTTCCCCACACATCCCTGTCCTGAGCCCAGGCCGACAGCACCAGGTGCCGACAGAGTGGGTTCTGCTGACGATCTCATTAAATCTGCATAAGAGCCCCAGGAGGTGTGTGCTGCTCTTTATACGTTTCCCAGACGAAATGTATAGAGAGATGAGTCACTGGCCCGAAGTCACAGAGGTGGCGTGTGGTAGAGCCGGGACCTAAACCCTGGCCGGCTGAGTCTTGAGCCCACACTTTTCAACCGCTCTGCCATTCACTCACATATTTGGTGAGGGAATGAGTGAACGGCTCATTCCACCAGTTAGGATCTGAGCCCGATTCTGGCACACATGCACTGGCCCTCTCTGGGCCTTGGGTTTTTTTTCAGCGTTCAAGTGAGGGGATGAGGCCCGGCCCCGCCCGTGAGCCCGCGAGCCTCCACCTGCCCGATGCTGGAGATGGGCCGGATCTTGTCGCTGGCATTCTCCCTGCAGTGCTCCAGGGCAGCAATGAAGGTGAACTGCTGCTGCTGGAAGAGCTGGTACTTCTGCTCCACACTTCGAAGGGATTCCTTCACCTCATTCATCATCCTGTCTGCTCATTCATAGGCGAGGAGGAGTCTGTGTAAGGAAGAGGAGAGTCGAGCTCCCAGGGCCAGACCCGCGGATCCAGCTCGGGGGGTGTGAGATGCCCACGGCCCCTCTCAGCGGCGCACAGGGCTCAGCAGGTCCCCACAACGCTGGGGAGCAGGGACTGTTTTCATCCCCATTTTGCAGAGAAGGAAACAAGGCCCTAGGAGGCTGTGCACTTGCTCAAGAACCCGGCAGGCTGTCCGCGACGGAGCCAAGCCCAACCCAAAGCCCTTTTACCCTCCAGGGCCACATTCTTTGCCGTGAAACAAGACTTCCTTCCCTCAGCTGTAGACGTGAGTTTCTCCGGGCCTCAGCTGGCCTCTGGTGCCCCCTCCCTGCCTCCTGTGGAGTTTGCAGGGATAACCCTGGTTGGAAACATTGACGCTGCGGGGAGTACTGTCTTTTGGTGCCTCACAAACTGTCCCAGTGTCATCCAGGGGGTCCACGACGTGTCCAGAATCTCCTCTGAGCAGAGAAAGGCAGTGGGTTCTGCCCTCCATGACATCACAGTTTTGCTGAGCACGTGCAAAATGCTCCAGGTCACGGATTTATGGAATGTTTAGGCTGGAAGGAAGCTCAGTAGATCAACTCCCCTTAACTTCCGGGGGAAACTGAGGCCCAGGGGGTCACAGCAAGCTTGTGCCAGAGACGCACTAGGTCCTGGGTTTCCTGATGTCTAACCAGCATCCTTGAAGGTGCCACAGCCGGCTGTCCCTGCACCACGAGGCCCTGGCACACATGGAGCCCAGGCTTGGACGTGCCTCGCGTCAGTCAGAGGAGGCTGCGCTGAGGTGGGGCCCCAGTGGGATGCTGCAAGTGGAAGGGGCCGGAACACTGGGGTGGGGGGTGCGGAGAACACAGCCAGGCTTCCTGCCAGCTCCCAGCTGGAGAGGAGGCTTGTTTCTAATGGGTCTCCCTCAGCGTCCTCACACAGCAGGACCGGAATGAGGGAGTCTCTGTGGCAAGAGGAGACGGCATCAGGGAGATGAAAGGCAAACAGACCACCAGGTGGCCTCCACGACAAGACAGGAGGGAGGGCTGGGGAGCTGGAGCTGGGAGCCGCAGTCCTGGGCTGGGAGCTAAACGCAGCCCCGCTGCCATAAAGGAGCTGCGCCAGGGAATTCCCTGGCGGTCTGAGCTTTCACCACTGAGGGCGCGGGTTCAATCCCTGGTCGGGGAGCTAAGGTCCCGCAAGCTGTGAGGCACGGCCGAAAAAAAATAAAGGAACCATGCCAGGAGGGGGCCTGACAATCGTGCCCCACCAGCCCAGGTGGGTCTACTGCAAACTGAATGGAGCAGCTTTAGCGGCAGCGTCCTGAGGCCACCCCTGGGAGCCGTAGCCTGTGTTTGCCAACAGAGCAGCGCAGCTCCACTGGGGACAGGCCTGGTCCAGGGCCACGCAGGGCAGTGGCCTACTTCTACTCAACCTCCGCCCCATTCAGCACAAGCTGACAGGGGAGCCGGGCGGTGGGGACACTGTGGGACCCGCTGTTTGTTGAACACGTGCCACAGCCAGCCAAGGCCCCCCAACCCCATCCTGGAGGCAGAAATGAGTCGACCTGGGGTGCAGCGGTTTTCTGTTACCTCGCATGGAGGCAGGCTTACCAGGACCTGGCCTAGGGCAAGGAGAGCGAGGCCCACACCTTGCTGCAAAAGGTAAGCGGGTGCCAGAAACACAGCAATCAAGACAGGTAAAAGCAGGCGTGATGTGCACCCTGAAAGAAGCCAAGGCTGCTGAGGGCTCGACCTCCTGGGGGAGGGGAGGTTTGAAAAGAAGGCCGGGGGCTTCCCTGGTGGCGCAGTGGTTAAGAACGCAGGGGACGCGGGTTCGAGCCCTGGTCCCAGAAGATCCCATATGCTGCGGAGCAACTGAGCCCGTGCGCCACAACTACTGAGGCTACGCTCTAGAGCCCGCGAGCCACAACGACTGAGCCAGTGCGCCACGACTACTGAGCCTACGCTCTAGAGCCCGCGAACCACAACGACTGAGCCCACGCGCCACGACTACTGAGCCTGCGTGCCTAGAGCCCGTGCTCTGCAACAAGAGAAGCCACTGCGATGAGAAGTCCACGCACCCCAACGAACAGTAGCCCCCGCTCGCCGCAACTAGAGAAAGCCCATGTGCAGCAACGAAGACCCAACGCAGCCAAAAATAAATAAATACATAAATTTATAGAAAAGAAAAGAAGGCCGGCTTTGGAGAGGACGAGGGCAGGTGGACGGAGGGGTGGGACCCTGGGCAGAGGGTGGGAAGAGGGAATGTCGTGAGCGGGTGCGGGGGCGGTGGGCAGGGCGAGGCTGAGGGCCCACTGACGGGCAGAGCTGTGAGAGTGAACACAGAAGCTTCTAGCCAAGGAAGCGCAGAGCACTCCAGGCGTTCATTCATTCGTTCATTCATTTATGCCGCAGTGCCTACCAGGTGCCAGACACCTGCAGGGTGCTGGGCTGGATACACAGCATTGAACAAAATAGACAAGACTCCCTACCCTGGAGGGACTTTAAGAACGGGAGGCAGACAATGAGGATAAGTGAAGTGAACGGTAGTTTAGAGAAGGAGAAAAGCAAGCAGGGAAGCCAGATGGGAATGGCCAGAAGGGCTACACAGTCTGCAAGAGGGGCATTTGCAGGAGGTGGGTGGGTGCAGGGCAGGGTGAACTGGAGCTGAGATCCCAGATGGCTCGGCGCAATCCTCCTAATAACAGCTGGTTCGATGAGGCTCTAGGTAAACCCTGGACAGGCATCACCTCAGATCCTTGCTACAGCCCTTTCAGCGGGGTACCATGATCACCCCCACATGACAGACGACGGATGACAGAGCCGAGGTCAGGCAGCTAGGACGGGAGCAAACCAGCTTCCCCACTCAGCTCTGCCCGACTTTATTTAGCCTGGGATCTTGGATACCTCCCTTCCTTCCTCCGCCCCCCAGGCCCCAGTGATGGCCCATTGAGAGAAACACGCCAGATACCAGATTGACTGTGGCTGGGGGTGGGGAGTGGATACCAAGGGCCTGCACTACCTGGACCCTTGGGCCTCGCTTCCGCTCAAGTGAGACTGTTCCCTGTTCCCCGTCGCAGGGCAACGAGGACTAGCGTTCAGGGGGCTGCCCTGTGTGCCCAGCTCCCTGCCACCCTCCTGGAACTGCCAAGTTCTCTAGGGATACAGCAGCCCTACCTTGACTGGTGGCCCCAAGAGCCCCTGAGAGCAAAACCGACTTGGTTCTTGATCCTATCGACTTGTGACATGCGCACCAGGAGTATTGTGAGAGGAGCTGTATGTAATAAGCTATCCAAAGTGATCGCCCCTTGAACAAGCGTCACTGCAGCCAGATTAGTCTGGATGAAAGGCGCAGGGTGCAGGCACTTCTTGATCTGGGGGAGGAGGAAGGAAAAAACTGATTATCCGATAGGTTTTAGGCTTTAATAGATTTGTATTTTTTCAGGCTGCTAAAGACGATTAAATCGTGGTATGAAAAGCGCCTAGGGCTTAAAATAAATGAGGAGGAAGGCAAGTCATTTCAGAAATGTCCAGGAAGCAAACTGAACCTCTCCAGTGCAAATGGCAGGCTTGGTGGTTGTGTTCTTTGTTCAGGGTGAGGCAGCTTCCTTTTCTTCCCCAGCTGTCTTTGCAGTTGAATTTGACAAGCCTACCAAAGTGTGTATGTGTTCTGAGAAGGCAGTTCTGAGGGGGAGCGAGCCTCTTCCCCTTGGAGGGCATGTCTCCAGGCTGGTAGCTGCTGGAAAAGGCTTTGGCTAGGAGTCAGGACGCGTAGTTCCAGCCTGGCTCTACCTTTAACAAGTGACCTTGGCCTAGAATTTCCCCCTTTCCAGGCCTCAGTTTATCCATCTGTAAAATGAGGGAGTTTGGATTAGAGGCTTTTCAAGGGCTCTTCTGATTCTAACGCTCCATAATCAACAGCTGATGAGGAAAGAGGTCCAGAAAAAGGAAATGGCTCAGCTAACAAATTTTTACCGTTCTGAGCCTCCAATTTCTCACCCGTAAAATGGGAATGAAGGTACCTATTTCTCAGGGTTGGCGCAAAGATTAAATGAGATATATTACTAATAGTAGCCCCTATGCATTGTGCACTTACTACACACCAGTTACCGTCTAATAATTCTGACATATTAGTTCATGGAAACCTTCCATAATCCCCACTTAATAGGGAAGGAAAGTGAGGCACAGAGCAGGCTGGCACAGCTAGTAAGGGCGGAGCCAGGATTTGAACTCCGGGGCAATCTGTATTGACTATGCCATACTCCCGCTCCATAATGCTCACATCACGGTAGCTCCTCCTAAGAATAGCAACGGACAAGAGCTAGAGCTCCCAATTCAGTGCCGCGTCAGATACCAGGCTGCCCACCGGGGATTAACACGATTTGCAGACCTCCTTCCCCCCTCCGCGTCCCACCCCAACTCTCTCTCTCAGGGCAGCGGCAGCAGCGGCGGCCCCCTCCATTCTCCACCCCCCTCACCCTCCAGTTTCCAAATCCAGGGCTTGGATGGGCCCTCCCCGGGCCTGCTTTAACCTTGCTTGTCCTAGAGCGGCCTTCACTCACAGAGCGCCCTGAAGCTGGAGTGTCTCCGTGTCTGTCTGGGGCCCCGGAGGGGCGGGGAGGCCCTTCCCAGGGCTTGGGAGAAGGGGTGGGTGGGGTGGGGAGATCTGAGGTGAGAAGGGGCGGGGCCGTGGGCCAGATTGTTACCGCCGGTGCCATAGCAATCGTCACGGGGCAGCCCCGCCCCTCCCCGGGAGCAAGTGGCGGGGTCTCGGGGGCTCAGAAGGTGCAAGCTGGTCTGAGGGTTTCCGACGGGACCCTCGACCCTCCCGCCCCTCCTTTTTCAAGCACCCTGCCCCACATCTACTCAGCTTCTTCATTTTAAAGATGGGGAAACTGAGGCCCTGAGAGCAGAGCCGGGGTGGCTCAAGGAGCTCCTAACTGGGGTCTCTCAGCACAGGGGGGCCCTATCAGGGGACACCTCTGACCCCAGAAAGCCACAGCTGGAGGAGACTTGAGGTGCCCCGCTGGGGGCGCGCAGAGGGGCGCGGACGAGGCCAGGGCAGGGAAGCCCTTGCCCCAGGCGGCTGAGCGCGCCGGAGGGGGAGCGGGTGCCCGGGCCAGGCTCCAGCCTCGCCGGTGGGCGGGCGCGACGCGTGCTGATGACGCAACGGCGCGGCACCCCTGGCGACGGCGGTCACCAGGGAGCGGCGCGCGCTGATGACGCGAGGCCCTAGCGACAGCGGTCACCAGGGAGCGGACGCGTTGTACGGCGATATGGACGCGACCACCGCCCCGCACCGCATACCCCCGGAAATGCCCCAGTATGGGGAGGCGAACCACGTCTTCGAGTTGATGCAGGTGACCCGGGCAGCCCTGCCCTGTCGCGACACCAGGCGGTGGCCGGGGAACCTCTTGCTGCGGTCCGGCTGCGCGCCGGCGACAGCGCATCAGGGAGGGGGTCACGTTTGTTACCCAAGAGGACGCCCAAATTGGGTTGTTCGACTCCTGTGCCATCGTATCCCAAGGGACCGCTCGACCAAAAGATGCTCCCTGACCCTCCCTGGAGGGAGGAAAGGGGGCAGGCCATGCTGGCCATGATTTGGTCCTGGCCCCGCCCCAGTCAAGTCCATGATCTGGAAGAGGTCCCTTCCTTTTCTCAGTTCCCCCATCTGTGAGACGCCAGGTTGCAAGAGGTGGTTTCCAAGGGGCTCATCTGGTGCTGACAATTCCCAGGCCGTCTGCAGTTGTTGGTTTCTGAGCTGAGGAGTGTCTGCGTTGAAGGTGGCCCTCTCCGTCCTCTGAGAGGGCCACCTCCTGGGACAGCAGCCCTGTGGTTTGGACAGCAGCATTTCCTACCTGGCCCTTCCTCCTCAGGGCCAAGAGTTCAGGGCACCTCCCAAGCCCTCATCCTGAGTTCCTGACCTGACCTACCTACTCCCTGTGTGACCTTAGGCAAAGCCGTGCCCCTGCATGTGCTCCAGGTTTCCCTTCTGCGTCTTGTGGAAGTAAAGGCTTTCAGGAGCCGGACTGGAGGAACTGTCAGCCACTCCGAGGTTCTGAGGGCCAAAGGGAAGCTGGAGCATTTGTCTGCTCCTCCGGGTATACCCCATCCCCGGAGGCACCTCCTTAGCGATGCCAGTGGCCATTTGAACCTCTGACAGCTCTGAGAGAACTCAGACTAAGAAACCTGAGTCTCCATCTCTCCAGCAAACACAGGCTTCCTTGGGAAAGTGTTAACTGATAGAGGGCACACGAGAGATTTCTAAAACTGAGTGGCCAATCTAAGTAAAGAAGATGGCTAGCTGGGTCCTAAGTCACCGGGTGGTGGGCAGGATGGGGCAACTCCTGGGAGCACTGTGCTGCGCTCTAGAGAATCTGGTGTATCTCATAGCAGTTGTTGGAAGGAGCAGCCTGAGGAAGCTTTTGGTCCAGTAGTTCCAGTCCTTAGTCATTTGTGTGCTCCCTCCATGGTTTTTACCATTTCCATTTTCTGGCTTTTTTTTTTTTTTTTTTTGCTGTGCAGCGACGCTGTGGGATCTTAGTTCCCTCACCAGGGATTGAACCTGGGCAACAGCAGTGAAAGCACTGAGTCCTAACCACCGGACTGCCAGGGAATTCCCAATGTTTTTATTTTAAAATAATTTTAGACCCACAGGAAGTTACAAAAATAGTACAGAGTTCTGGTGTACCCTTGATCCAGCTTCCCCTAGTAGTAACATCTGAGGTAGCTGTCCTACATTGTCAAAATCAGGAAATTGACATTTGTACAATACTATTAACTAGACTACAGACCTTATTTGGATTTCATCCATTTTTACCAGCACTCATTTAAGGGTATGAGTCTATGAAATATTATCACAGGTATAGATTCATATAACCAAAACCAGATTTCCATTTTAACTTAATCATTTCTTTAAATCAACCCACTTTAAAACTATTAACTTATTTCACCTCATCCTAAGCAATATCCTTGAAATCATAGGTTTCACATACTGATTTTTCTAATACACGTTAGATGTGCAGCTGTGTACGAGTGAAATTTAAAATATTCATCTGAGAACCACCTAAAATCATCTCACACCATCTCACCAGTGATACAGGACTAGGGATCTCGTCCAACTGTGCCTTTTAATGGGCAGGGAACCTGAGGCCCAGAGAAGGGAAGGGTGTTGATGGTGAGAAGCGGAGTGGGGCTAGGACTTCTCATGGTTCATGCTGTTTTTTACTGCCCTGCTCTCCCTCTGCCCCCAAAGGGCTACAGCCCCTCCCTGCTTGTCCCTAGGGCATAAGGCTGCTCCCTAGTGCACCAGCCCGGCTGCTGTCAGCCACCTGGTTAATTTCTGAGCCTTTTGTTCTGGAACCGTGCAAGCTGCTTTCCCTTAGAGTTAAATAACCAGACAATCCCAGGACTCTTTTAGATATCTGTTCCACTCTGGAGGGACACAGGTAGCAGCGATGGCCACGTCCCCCAGCAGACGTCCGCGTGGGGCACCTACTGGGATTGTGCCGGGCACTGGGACAAGGGGGAGGCGATAAAGGGGATGCACGGGGGCTGCAGAAACATATGACAGGATTGACCTAGTGAGTATCATCGGGAAGGTATGTTTCCATTGAGGCCTGAGGAAAAGTGTTCCAAGCTGAAGGAACAGCATTTGCTAGGGCTCTGAGGGGTGAACGGGTGCAGCGCGGGAGAGAAACCGAGAGAAGGCTGGTCTGGGAGTCACCAAGGAAGTGAGGGGCGAGGGCCCCGAGACTGCCTGCTCTGAGTCAGGGGCTCCATCCCTCCAGCTCCGCCTCCGTCAGGGTGCCTCCCCAGCAAAGCCCACGCGGCCCCTCCCTCACGCCTCTGCTCACAGGGACCCAAACAGATGCCAGCTAGGGTGGGGGGCAGGGGGGAGATCAGGCCCCGTAACTGGTATCCACTGCGATACCAGGGTGCTGGGCCACCTGAGCCTGGGGCCTTGGGTGCTCATGCAGGTGCTAACCACCTGGGTGTCTGCCCTGTGCCCACAGAACATGCTGGAGCAGCTCCTGATCCAGCAGCCCGAGGACCCCATCCCATTCATGATTGAGCATTTGCAACGAGACAATGATTACGGTGAGCACTGGAGTGGGCCTCCTCCCCCCTCCCCCGCTGTCTCCCTCCCCTCCCCCTCCTGGGAACCTCTGGGAACCACTCTGTCCTCCCCGTGTCTAAAGGGAGGTCAGAACAGGGTGGGGAAAGGTTTTGCCAACTTGGGGAGGTGGTTAATTGAAAAATGCCTTAATTTCTTTTGGAGCACAACTCATACAAATTCTCCTGCCAAGTGATTAAAATGAAAACCTCAGAATGGCCCGCGGAATTAATTATTAATGCCTTGGCACGCCCCAGCTGATGTCGCCTGTTGGGTTTAAGCTCTGTGATCACTCCACTTGTCAGGTGTAAATGTGGTTTCTGGTCTACCCAGACAGGCAACACTCGGGTTTTCCTGATGGTCTTGTTGTCGGCGCCCGTTAATGAGTTCCAGAGCTCCCTAAACCTGGCCCAAGCGAGCGCAGGCCGACCAGACCCAAGGCCGGAGCCCCTGACAGGGAGGTGGGAGAGGAGGCGCTTCGGCCCACGTGGAGGCTTGTTGCCGTCCTGTGTGAGCTGTCAGGGAGGCCAGTGTCTCGGAGCTGTGATGTTTCTTTCACTGGAGCATTAGCCGCTTTGAAGGAGCTACCAGCGCACCAGTGAAGTGAGGGCTTGGTGCAGTCGAGAGGGATGGAGACCTGAGGTGCCCCGTGGTGGGGTTCAGAGGCCTAAGATGAGAGGGGATGCTAAGTAGTTTAAAAAAGAAATGGGGAGAGAGGAGACTCCAAGCCTGCAGGTTGCCAGGGACACCTGGCCTCTTCCGCGTGGCCTGGGCAGGGTCAGGGCATCGGAGTGAGGGGCCGTTTCAGAGGCCTAAGCAGCGTGGTTCAGTGTGGTGCAGAGAGCCCCAGGAGTGCCATTTTCTGAGCCTCCAGGGAGGCATATTCGAGAACGGACTCTGAGTGTGAGCGCGTGTGCCCCAGGCGGAGACCGAGCCGGGGGGGGGGGGGGGGGGGCGGAGGTGGGGGATGCAGTCTGCCCCGCGGAGAGTCTTCTAAGGGGCCTCCGTTCCCTGGTGCTCTGGTCGGGGCGGGAGGGAGGCTCACCTGCTCTGTGGGGTGAGAAGCCCCCTTGCTTCCTGGTGGTCCCTGCTCTGGACCCCAGCTTGCTGCCCTGGCCTCACCAAGTGGCCTTCGTTGGCCAGAGGAAGACGTTTCTGCAGCCCCCTGCCCCCCGGCTGTTCGCGGGGCCCGGTGTTGCTAAGTTCTGTTACTTGAGGGCTGCTGGGAGCACTTCTGCCTGTGTTCCCCTCTTGTACTGCCCCCGCCCAATCAATACAGCAAAGCAAAGTCAAAAGAAGTAAAAGTTGAAGGCCAGATAAAGGTAAAGTAACAGTGAAGTAAACTCAAAGTGAAGAGCGAAGCAAAAGCAGGGAAGTGCAGGGAAGCGCAGTTCAGGGAGGTGTCCCTTCCCGCCATCCCCCCCACCAGGGAGCCTCCAGCACATCTGTGCTCACATCTTCTAGTTAAGTGCGACGAAATGGCGAGAGATCATTGCTCTCTCTCGGCCTCAGTTTCCTCCTCTGTAAAATGGGCACGTCTGGTAACAGAGATGGAGGCGGCAAAGCTCCGGCCTCATCCATGGCGACTGGTCAGTGACACCGTGGGAAGGGATGACAAGGCCCTGATGCTCCCGCCGGGCTTCAGGTGGTGCCATGCAAGTGTCCACTTGTGAAAAGCTTAATGAGGATTTTCTAAATGAAAACCATACTTGATAATAACACAACCATTTGAACCCTAAGTTGGGTTGTGGTGGCCCTTGCTACTTATGGTTTGAAAAATTCTGTTTAGGGGTGTGTGTGCCACGCTGTGTGTTCTACCACAGACCTGAAGTCTTCGTTAGTCTCCCTGCTAGAAATTCAAGAGCCTGAAATTTGAGGCACAGTCCATCTTTATGCTTTAATCTTGCTCCTCTGTATGCAGAAATGATTTTCAGTGTCAAACTATCCACTTGACCAGAATTTTTAAGTTCAAATGTCATCTAATGCAGTGCAGTCGGCATCGGCGGGACCGTCCTCTCGGGCGCTGGCCTTACAGCCACCTGTAAGAACCTGCTCCTCTGCCCTTTCCCACCTCCCTCCACCCTCCTCAGCACCCCTTTCCATTCGTGCTGGGGCCTCCTTTCCAAGGCTGCCCTCCACGGAGCCCTGCCTCCTTTCTCCACGTCACACCTGCTCTGTTGCTCTCCAGTAGGGGTGGAGAGTTCAGACCCTCCCCGTTCAGCTGGAGCTAGGGGCCGGCCTCCTGGCTGTCCTCCCCCATGGCTGGAGTCCAGGCTTTTGGTCCAGGTGCTCTCTCAGGGAGTCGAGTCACTGGATCCCAGTAACCACTGTTTTGAGGGGTTGATTTGTTCCCAGAGCCCTCCATCCCCACTCCCAGGCCTTGGGCTGGCAGCTCTGAGGGTCGCTGGCACATCTTTGCCTCTTGGCTCAACCACTTAAATGAAGAGAGGGGCATCTCTGAGTTCCCCTCCCGTGCCCAGGCCTCCACCTGCAAGTGAAGAAAAATGTGGGAGAAAGAGGGGGGCTGGAGGAGGAGGGGAGAAGACCATGCTTCTGGAATTTCTCTATGAGAGGGCGAAGGTGAAAAGAGTTTCACCCAACCCTTGTGGTTCTAGAAGACCACAGGAGGCCTGGAGAGGTCCCCTGATGTCCAGTGAGCACTTCTGCAGCCCCGGGCTAGTGGGTCGGTCGGTCCTGCCTTCTCCCGACCATGCAGTGGCCCGTGTTAACTGCAACCGGGCACTCAACCCTCTGCCTCCTGGATGGCCACGCACGGTGGCATGGTCAATGGCTAGTGTAGAGGGACAGAAGACTCTGGACTCTTGGCGGTTAGCGTGCATGTGAGGGAATGAGGGGAGCCGCCGGCACAGGGGCTGGCAGCCCCTTCGCTGCAAGAAAACCAGATTTAGTACAAAGTGAGCATTTACAGTAGCCCTGGGCAATATGAAAGAAGGCGATGGTGTGTATAATGGTATGTTTCGTTTTTTATCAAACGTTTGTCCAAGAAAGCTGTGTATTAGAGCTCCAATACCTAAGGGTTTTCTTGTGAATTTTAAATCATGCTCCTAGTTAAACCTCAAAAGGCTCTGTGGATGGAAAGGGTTTTTGATTTCCTTTGAAGTGGGTTGAAGAAGTTGATTACTCTTGGCAGTCAAGCAGCCTTTTATGACACTGTTTATAAATAATTACTCATGAGCAGGCCTGGAGTTTCAAGGTGTTAGATTTTAAGAAACTGAAATTAATCACATAAATGTGTGCAAGAAATTAGGTGCGGAGAAAGGCCGTGGATGTTCCCCTTTTAAAGTATTTTCATAGATGTGTACAATTTGGGTGCCACTTACGGAGCGAGGAAGGGGAGGGCTTCCCCAGCAGCCATGGAGCCTCATAACTTTTGTCAAAATGAACGTGCAACCTGGGAGTCAGCTCGTTCCCAAAATGCTCTTGTCAAGGTGCAGCCAGTCCCTTCTGCCCGGTCCCTCAGGCCCTGGGCCTTGTTGCGTCTGGCCCAAGTTCTAGGGAGCTTCAGCGGAGGCCTGGGGTTAGAGCCCTGCAGAGGCAGCAGGGCGTCGGGCACCTGAGCCAGACCCCCATCCTCCCCCCGCCGCCCCACCACCCTGTCTTCTTCTGGCTTCAGCAAGCAGGCGTTCTCCCCGCGGTCCGAGTGAGCTCTTTGCGTCAGCGCACCAGTCCCCCCCGCCCTCGACCTCCCTCCCTGCTGCCCTGATCCTGCCCCTCCCCGCCAGCCTTCCGTGGCATCCCAGCTCCGATCTCCCCTGACCAAGTGTTCCCCAAGCCACCTGGTTTCCAGGCTCATCCCATAAGCAGTGTTTTCCACTTGCTGTGGCTTCTCCCCTCAGGTTGCAGGGCCCCGGCAGGCCTTGCCCCAGGTTACAAGGCCAGAGCAGAGAATGGGCTGTGAAGCCCCGCCCTGGTTCCCACCCCCACAGCCGAAAGTGCCTTGCCTGCCCTGGGCCTGTGCCCTGAGCTGCTCCACTCAGTGGAGCCCCGACTGTGGACACGGTCTGGGAGGTGCTGTCCCTGGCGGCCCTGCAGAGCCCGGCTCCCGGTGGCCGTGCGTGAGCAGCGTTCTGGACGCAGGCTGCAGTGTCAGGGGCCCAGTGTGTGCAGCGGTGTGCGCTGCCCCGCCCACACCCCTTGGTGGCCTCACGTGGGGCATTGTTCCTGGTGGGCGGCCCCGGGCCTGCCTCCCGCCTGGGCAGGATTCTCTGAGCCATGCTGGCCTTTGAATAAACCCCTCTCTACCCGACTCAGCCTCATCTGGTTCCTGCAGCTTGCAACCAAGAATGCCAGTTGGCAGAAGATGCCTTTGTGAGGAGGTAGTGATGGTGGAGACAAAGGTAACCAAACACTCAGTGGCCACAGAGAGGGCGGCAGCCGAGGAGGAGGCCACCAAAGGTCCTGCTGCGTGTGTGGCTCCTCGCAATGCCGGCTGCAGGAAAGGAGGATGAGACTTGGTTGCTGCCCCCTGGGGACCCGCTCAGCTGCTCAGCAGGGCGACAGAACTCACCAAGGCTGCAGCAGCCCCTTAATCAGGAGTGGGGTGAGAATCTCAGAAGAGGAAGCCAGTGGGGCTGGGGGGGTTAGGGTGAGGAGGACATTCCTGATGGGGAGGTGACGGGTGACAAGGTAGGGACATGGGAAGAACATCATCAGAAGAGGGAGGAAGTCCAAGGTCAAGGGAGAGGATTGCTCGGGGCTCCTGGGCGACCTTCAGGGTCCCCAGCTAGGCGAGGCTGTTAGGATGCCAGGACACATCCCAGCCTCCTGGTGAGGGTCAGGCCCCTCAACAAGGGTCCAAGGGGACTTAAAGGGACACAGAGCCCCTTGGCCAGAAGGACACTGGCCGCTGAGTCCGCCCTGCTGAGGAGGCCCGGAGGCTCCCTTGCCAAGCGTGACCCGGAGAGAAAGGGTATGTGCAGGGGTTTGCTGAGCTGGAGCCTGGCCACGCCTCCTGGCAGCAGGCCAGGTGCTGCCCCGACCAGGGCCTTCCTGTCCCACATCCCTGATTCACATCACCAGCCCCAGGAAAGGCTTTGGGCTTCCGAGAAGCAAGTTGCTTACATTTCACAACAGTGGGGCCAGTGGACCAGATTTAGAAACACGGCCAGCGACAGTGTTTGCTCTGAGGCCGCCAGCTGGAGGCACACAGACATCAGGCAGCAGCAGGAAGCTGTGACGTGTGTCTGACATTCTCCGTGGGCTTGAGGAGAGGCAGTTCCCTCGCGGAGACGGGGCAGAGGCCGGCCCTCCCTCTCAGGTCTGGTCTAACGCGATCACCTCGCGGACCCGGTGCGGGCCTCAGGCCACTTTGCTTTTCTCGGCAGCATTCAGCCCAGCGCGAGCTTGGATGAGGCTCTCGATGAGTATTTGTGGAGTGAATCAGTGAATTATCCTGGACTTGCCCTCTGCGTTTCCCCTGAAAATGAGAAGGTGCTGTGAATTGGGGCACAAGTCTGTTTAAACCCAAGCAGCCTGGCCAGGTGTGGGTCTGCTGGTGATCATCAACTCGGGGGCCAGACCCGCTAGTTCCTTCTCTGTGTCCACTCCCAAACTAGGAGGTCCCCCACCTGGATGAGGCTCCCTCTCGGAGGCCTGATAGGAACGGGCCCCGTGAGTTGCTGTGCACACCTGTTCATCCTTCTCCGTGGGCTGGGGCCAGGCTGACAGGCAGAGGCAGAGGCCTGGTTCCCCAACCTGGGTGCTGCACCCCTCGCTTCCCACAGCTGGGGGAGGGATGACATCATCAAGGTGGCACTCAGGGAGGAACCAGCGTGGGTTCACCTGTCCAGACACCACATTACGCTTCCTTTGTTTTGACCCAAGCACACGCCTTCCAGCACTTTTCTTAAGATGCTGGTTTTTTTGTTTTTTTCTTTTCCAACGGCCAGTACCTACTCGCTAGTCTGGTAGTGTCTTCGGGAATTCTGCAGGGTCGGGAGCCTTCCAGACCCAGGAGTATCACACCGAAGCCAGTGGTTTCCATCCTCATAGAAATGCCCGTATTTGAAAACAAAGCCTTTTCTATCTGGGGTTTTTATAAATCTGGCCCATACACTCCAGGCTTTTCCCCATTATTTCCCTCTGTAAAATGATGGGGAATACAATTTGCTAAATAAAAAGGCATAGATATTAAAAAAAAAAAAACAAACCCGCCTTTGAAGGTCGATTTACATAAAATACAGCTTTATTTGAGAGCATGTCCCTGAGACAAAGTCCCTGTTTAAAATGCTTTATGGTGTTTGAAATCCCAATTGTTCTTGATATTTATTAGTTTGGCAAACAAGTTACCCTGTCCACATCCCCTTGGAGACAGAAAAATAAACCATCTCAGTGATCACTTACCTCTCTAAACACAGAGAGTATGTTCTGTGGTGGGAGCATCTCGGAGCCACTGGGTTACAAATGACCGCGTCACTCCCAGAAAATGAAATCTGGGGAAGAAAGAAATACATACACCCAGAGCTCTGCAGACGTGGGAGGTTGCTTTGTCATATTGAATGGTGACACTCAAATCTCTTTATTCCACAGTGCCGAAGATTGTAATACTAGGTCCACCCGCCTCGGGGAAAACAACTATAGTAAGTGTATCATATTAAGTGTGGTAATACGGGAGTATCTCATTTGTCCTGCAGAGACGGAATGAGACTGCACCTCTGCAAATTTTCAACATAACTGAGCTTTTCTTCATCTTTTCTCTCTCCTACCTCTTATCTTCTCATGACAAGAGGCAGTATGTGTTTGTAGTAGAAAACCTAGAAAATACAGAAAACAAACGTAGAGTTCCCCAACCATCCAGAGATAAGCATTCTTTGAATGTGTGGGATATTCCTTCCAGGGTTTTCTCATGGCTACATGGCCACCATCCTGGCAAACCCTTGGTTCCATCCTTAGGATACATTTCTAGAAGGGGAAGCGCTGGGTCAAATGGCACACACATTGCAAAGACTTTTGGTGTGGAATCTTCAGATTCACTCGTAAAATTTTAATTATGAAATGTTTTAACCAGTCAGAAAAGCAGAGAAACTACACCAGAGATACTCATGTGTCCCACTCCTGGATTTTACAGGTACTTATCATTTTGTCATATTTGCTTTGACGACTTTCTCTCCATTTCAAAGATAGTAGAACTTTAAAGATACGGCAAATACCTCACCCCACTTCCCTCACTCCGTTTTGTCTCTCCCTCCTTAGAGGCAACCCCTGTCGTGAAGCTGAAGCTTCATTCCATGTATGGTTTTAATCTTTCGGCTCCTTTTTTAAGTACCAAAGCGTCTTCAGTTATAATCATCCGAGATGGAACTCTGTGTTTGCAAAAGCCTGGTTAGTGAGCATCAGGTAACATAAGTTAATGATAAACAAGAAGGTCCTACTGTAGAGCACAGGGAACTATATTCGATATCCTGTAACAACCTATAATGGAAAAGAATCTGAAAAAGTATATATATATATACCTGAGTCACTCTGCTATACACCAGAACCTAACACAACATTGTAAATCAACTATATACCGTACTTAAAAAAATAAACATTAGCGAACTCTTCCTTGATCACTGTATCATCGCTGTCAGCTCTCCTCCTGGGCCCAGGAGATGCGGCAGGTGGTTTCCCCCAACTAGCTGGCGCCTGGCTTTATTCTGAAAAGGAATTAAGATGTCTGGTCCTTACATAAAACCACGTGCATCTGCCCTGCTTTTGGAGTTAGGATAGCCAGCTCTTCTGTTTGTCTGTCACCTATCTGTCTGTCCATCCGTTCATCCATCCATCCGTCTATCTCTCTGTAGTTTTTCTGCCTCGTTCCTCAGGGTCAGGCTGTCAGCTTTCACTCCTGTCCACAGTCCACCCTCCCGATCACCATTTCACTGTTAGAAACCAGGGGCTCCTGGACCTGGGGACCTGGCAGTCACTGGCGCTAACTGGTGTTTCAGCTACAAGCCTTTGGGCAAATTCACTGTTCCCACCCCTGTCTGCTGTGTAGGGACACACAAATCTCATTTTACAATAAGATGATACATAGTCAAAGCCTAACGGGCTCTTTCCTGATCTTGTCGCTGACATTTCCCAGCACGAGGAACAGAAAGATGAGGGTTCATACCTGCCCTGGGGGACCTCTAGGGCCTTCTTTTTCTTTTTGGCCATGCCGTGTGGCTTGCGGGAGCTTAGTCCCCCGACAAGGGATTGAACCCCGGCCCCGGCAGTGAAAGCGCCGAGTCGTAACCACTGGACCACCAGGGAATTCCCCCTCCGGGGCCTTTTGAATCATCCCGCTGCTGAAATGGTCATCAGTATAATCTTGGTGTTAAGAACATTTTGTTGCACGATTATACCTTCAAATGTGTTCTTCCCTGGTAGAGTATATATAGTGGCCATTGATGAACTAAACATTCACTTGGCGAGAATATGCCATTCCCCATTCTTTAAGAAAAAATGAACATTGAGTATGGGTCGTGACCCCTATTAGGGCCTGTCCCTGTGTTTCCTGTTCCAAACCTTTCTTGAGTTAAGAACTCATGGTCCACAGATCTTGAAGAGGCAGGCCCAGGGCAGTAAAGCATAGGTTTCCCAGGTCCATTTAGAGTCAATGGCTGGTTGAAGAAGAAATGGCAGGCAAGCAGAATTCCACAGCTGGGAGGGATTTTATGGGTTTGTCTCCCTTGGTGGCCTCCTTCCAGCCAGAAATAATTATGCTTCCCTGTGACAGACTTTTCTAGTAGCATATGGAAGGACCCAGGCATTGTAATGGTGTCCTCTTATTTATTCCTTTCACAAAAATTTTCTTTTCCTCTTTCCTTTCTTCAGGCAATGTGGCTCCGCAAACATCTGAATAGCAATCTCCTCAGCGTGGAGAGCTTGATGGCAAAAGAATATTCCTCTCTGGCAGCAGATGCCAGGACACATTATCAGAAGTTCCAGGTAGGATGGGTCCTGGGGAACAGGACGGGGTGAGAGCTGCCAAGGCTCCCCCATCACCTACCCCACCCTTTCCATTCCCTGGTGGATTAAGTGAGAGAAAATACTGGGGTAAAATGAAATATAGGCAGGATGTGACAGCAGGAAGGAGAGAATTCTTCAGTAGGGCACACAGGTCCCGGTGGGCACGGAGGTGAGGGGTTTGTGGTGGGAAAGGATCAGTAGCCGTGAGGATGCTGTTGTGTACCGATGGAGTGGCCCAGCCCTGCTCTTCTTAGGGTCAGCCCGATCAAGTGGGTGGGGGCAGGGCAGGGGTCTCCATTCCACAGGTGATGCGCCTGCTGGCCTGCACCAGGACCTGCAGGCCTGAGCTGGCGGGGAGTTTAAAGGGCAGTGGTCCAGCTCTCCCCAGAGGGGAAAGATGCTGAGTGCTGCAGCTCAGGGGCACTTCTTTCCACCCCTCAGGGTGGGCACCCTGTGGCATCCCAGGAGGATCAGGGGTCTGTTTCTAAAATCCCACCAACACTATATTTGAAAGACTTTTTTTTAAAATTTATTTTTGGCCGCGTTGGGTCTTTGTTGCTGCACGCGGGCTTTCTCTAGTTGCGGCAAGCAGGGAGGGGCTACTCTTTGTTGTGGTGCGTGGGCTTCTCATTGCGGTGGCTTCTCTTGTTGCGGAGCACGGGCTCTACGTGCGCGGGCTTCAGTAGTCGCAGCATGCGGGCTCAGTAGTTGTGGCTCGTGGGCTCAAGAGTGCAGGCTCAGTAGTTGTGGCTCACAGGCTTAGTTGCTCTGCAGCATGTGGGATCTTCCCAGACCAGGGCTCGAACCCGTGTCCCCTGCATTGGCAGGCGGATTCTTAACCACTGCGCCACCAGGGAAGCCCGAAAGACATTTTTAAAAGGGAAATATAGGGCTCGATCATGTTGGTTCTCTTAAATGCAAATAGAAATTTCCAAGTATCTTTTCAAAGTCCCCTTTGGAGCATAAGCAGATGCTCCAGTCCGTTCAGGCTGCTGTCACAGAGACTGGGTGGCTTGGAAACAGAATGTAACTCACAATTCTAGAGGCTGGGAAGTCCAAGGTCATGGCGCCCACAGACTCAGCGTTGGCTGACAGCCGTCTTCTCACGGTAGCCTCACGTGGCAAGAGGGCACGGAGCTCTCTGGAGCCTCTTCTTTCGGGCACCCAAAGGCCCCACCTCCCAATACCGTCACCTTGAGGATTTCAGCACATGAACTGGCGGGGGCACAGGCGTTCAGCCCAGAGCAGCGGGGCTGCTGCTTCGGGTGTCCTTTGCTGACGCGCAGGCTTTCTCTTGTTTGTGGGGGGAGACGGCTGAGAAGAGTAGGGATCCTGGTGTCTGCTGAGCGCTAAGCATGCGCAGGCCTCCCCTCCTCGCCTCACGATTTTCCTGCAAGGTGTGCTGGTACCTGGTGAGGTTGAGTAAGTGCCCAGGGCCAGGGCAGGATTCAGGCCCCACCCGGGGCTGCCCAGGGCTCGGGCTGCCAGTCGGGGTGAGAACCCTGGCTCTCCTGCCCGTCTCTGCAGAGGCCGCAGCCGAGAGCTGGTCGCCGCCCCTCTTGTGTTCATCTTCATTCATCAGGCCGGGTCTTGACCATGTGGCCGTGTGCTCAGTTCCTCCAAGAACTCGGAAGGAAGCTTCCTGACCTCGTGGGCTGCGCATGAATGATGGCTGGTGGGACAAGTAGCAGAGATCGCCCGGGCTGCCCAGGGCAGAAAAGGGGATCGGAAGGGGGATGCAGTGACTCCTGGGCCCCGGGTGGAGGAAGCACCCACCTCCCTGGCTCTGTGGCCGGGAACTGGGCAGCACCCTGGCCTCCTCTGCCCCGTGCAGCTGCTTGTCTCTGTCTCCATTCTCCCTGTGGTTCTCCTTTCCTTTCGTCTTCTGCCTTCCACGGCCACTCATGACCACCACCCTCGTCGAGGTTCCCGTGTCTTCGGTTCACACCACCCACAGAGGCAGCTCCAAGGCCAAATTTCCAGAAAAGGGATTTGTGTGGGCTAGCTGGTCAGGTGGCCCCAGGGCCGGGCCAGCTCTGGTGAGGGGTGTGCACAGCAGGTGCATCAAGGCCATGGAGCACGGCCACGGCCAGGAGGGCCCGGCAGGGTGCGGGCAGTTCCTGGAGACGAGGGTGTCACTTAGGCAAACTCCCAACCTCAAGTTTGCCTATAGTAACAGTTTGAGGGAAGTGAAGGAGAACCTCCTTCAGCAAGGTCAGCGCCCACCCCCCGCCCCGCTACCCAAATGGTGAACCGGTTCGAACACCGCTTGACCCAGAGCACTTCCGGACCCACATCGCCTGGCCGGGACTCTGAGGGCAAGCAAGTGACGCCCCTGCACTGCCCTGCCGTCTTGCAGGAGTCAGAGTGTGTGGTCAGAGTTTGGGGGATACCAGCTTTTGGGGTAAATACAGTTTTAGAAAGAAAGTGGGTCTCTCATTTCCTGCCGAAGATAAGCTTTTCAGGGTGGGAGAGGCAGGCTCATTTCTAGGATAAAGATGCTTTTATTAGGGTTAGAAAATTCAACGGCGAGTAGGGCGTTTAAGGAAATTCCTCCTGGGTTTCATTACTCTGATTATCAGCATATTTCAGACCACATCGAAGTGCTTTCAAGGGTGTCTTGTTGGGGCTCTTTGGTTCGGAAGCCGGGTGGAGGGAAGATGAAAGGCCGAGGCGTTAGGACTGATCAAGGAGGGAAGTGCTCTGAGGAGTGGGGGCGGGTGCGTGGCCTTGCCGCAGACGCAGCCCGCCCAGCGAGGCCACTCATTAAGTGTTGTCTTTAAAGCATGTGCTGATCTGGAGCCTTCATAGCTCTTTCTGCAAGCAGCAATAATACCTTCAAATACATAATTTTCTCCTGCTAATCTTGGCTCTGCCCTCCCATACAGAATTCTCTTATGTAGCGGGTGTTAACCAAGACGCTTCCATCTTCGGAATTTCCAAATGGTTTCTGAAACACTTCCTCGTCACCTCCTGTATGCCAAGCACCGTCCTGCGTGCCGTGGGAAACCCAGAGATGAGTTCCTTCTCCTCGCCCCTGGGAACTTCTAGCCAGTGGGGGAGACCGAGGGTCCCCAACCGAGGATGCAGGGCCAGAAAGCCCTCATGCAGTCAGTCGGTGGCTCGCTTGACTAATTCATTTACTGAGTGTCCTCTGAGCACCTGCTAAGCCCTAGACGTGGCTCTGGGCGGGGAAGAGCGTACAGGTTCCATGGGGAAAGGACATTTCTTTGCAGCAGGAGTTGGATGGAGCTGATTGCTCTAGAGTGTATTAGATTTTTACTGAAAAAAAGAAAAAGAAAGAAAAGGAAAGCTTTATTATTGAAATCCCTGCAGGAAGCATATGTATTTGCAAATTTAAAACTGCATAGTCCAGAGGTGCTCAACCTGAGCAGCACATTAGACTCACCTGGGCCCCACCAGACTCTTTTAGTCTGAATCCCTGGAAGTGGGGGACCAGGCATCTGGATTTAAACACGCTCCCTAGGGAGTTCTCGTCTGGTCATCTGGGAGCCCAGCCCAGACACCATTCCCCTTTTCTCATGGCAGTTTTTACTTTTACAGCACAGTTATTGCTAAATCAAGGTTTCTTTGTTGGCGTTAGAGCAGAACTGCCTGTGTTTGTTGAGTGAATAAATGAGCCACACTCTAAAGGCTGCTCAGACCAGAAGGAGCCAAAGCTGGGTTCTTCCCAACTTCAGTCCCGTTTAATTCCCAACTTCAGTCCCATTTAAAAATTAAGAACCTGGTGTAACATGATGTACCCAAGCGCCCAGTTGTCAGTCACCATTCTTTAACGTCCAAATAATAGCGCTTGTGCCCTTATCCTGCCTCTGTCTACACAGAGAGGTGTAGCCCCCTGCAAGTATTTCTGAGGATTTCCGGGATTGCCCCGCAGTCCTGGCTTCCAAGTCCTCTGGGTTGTCTCCTTCCCTTCCGGCCATTCCATCTCCCACCTGGCTGCTCTCTGTCTTGGAGGCTGTGTTCAGACAGAGCCAGCAGGAGCCCGCACACTCTGTCCTTCCAGTGGTGCGGAATGGTCCTTTTTGGAAGGTTTGGGGCGGGGGGAGGATGGGGACAGCCCAGGATGGAGACAGAGAAACCCAAAGACCAGTCTCTGTAGCTCCTTTAAAGTTCACTGGCCTTTCCCACTACCGGGTTTCCCTCCCCGGCCACCTCCCTCTGCGGGCCTGTCGGTGCCCCGTGGTGGGGGTCTCTGCTCTCCCTTCAAAGCCTCATCTCCTGTCCTCTCCCTCCTCTCACCTCCTGTCCCCGTTCCAGACTCTGCCTGGGCCCTGCCTCTCAGAACCAGGAGAGTCCGTGCCATGTAAGCCTGCTCTGACAGCCCCGAGTAGCAGCAGAAACTTTGAAAGGAGAGTTGTCTTTAAAGGGTTCTCGGATCAGTTCTTAAGTGAGCGCAAGTCCAAGTACGGGCCTTCCCTCCCCCACCAGCAGCCCCTCTAGGGAGGCCTCTCCCCTCCTGGCAGACCAGGAGTCTCAACTCCTCCCCTTTCTGCTTTGCTCCAGATGGAAGTTCATAACGGTTGATCAACAGCATGCCCACAACTCCTGAGCAAGTGTTACCCGAAGGTGACACAGTGACGTCAGGGGCCCTGAGGCTGGGGCCTGGTGATGGGACCCTGTGGGCTGCTGCCATCCTGTGGAGGAAGCCCAGGCTGGAGAAGCTCAGTGAGGTGCCCCAGGGGCCAGAGCCAGGGCTTGAGCCTCCAGGGGCTGCGTCTTCGGGGCAGGGGCGGCACCTCCGAGGTTCGCAGGCCAGCAGTTCTGCCCCGGGCTTGGGCACTGGGAGCTGGGAGGAGAAGAAAAGTCCAAACCGGGGCCAACGCAGCTGATTCTGCCCTTTACGGCAAGGAGGCAGGCTGGCGGTCGCGTTGCCACCGAGTGGGATGCCGGGGGGGCAGGGGCCTGCACCTGGACTGGGCCTTCTATGTGACCAGCAGGGGCTGCACTGGGCTCCATCCGTTTGTCCCTGATTCTCCCCCAAAAGCCAGGCTCTGGGGGCTGGGGTGGGAGAGCACAGCAGAGCTCGGGAAGGAAGGGAGCCTGATTCTTGCAAAGACAGTTTGGCAGGACTCCGAGCAGCGGACCCTGGGAAGCCCCCGCTGCTGACGTGACACATCAAAGCTGGCACCTAGACAGCACAGAGGCAGTGAGTGGCGGGGAGAGCACTCGCGAGGGGCTGAGCTCAAAGTCGCCGGCCTGTCCCCCGCCGTGGGGGGCGCCGCGCTCCACCCGGACCCGTCGCCTTTCAACCCGTGTTCTTTTTTTTTTTTTTTTTTTTTTT